ATTCTGTTCTTAACTTTAGCAAAGATTGTTTGACTCGGTTAGAAAAATTACGGTGGGCGAAAAAATCATCAGGGGAACTAGTGAGTTTATATCTTCGCCAAAGCTTTCGCTTATGTCGAATTAAATGAGTAGCTGAGAGGTTAATCCAAGGTTTTAGTCGATTTCTATATACCTGCCGTTCGGTTGTATGATCAGAAATTGTTGTAATAGCAGTATGAAGAAAAGAGTCCCACATTGACGATGGATCAGAGTGATTAGAAAAAATAGATTGCCAGTTTAACTGGGATAAAACTGAATTTACATCAATGAAATTAGTAGTGGCATACGTTACGAAATTATTTTTGCAAGGCGGTGTTAAACTAAATTGAATGTGAGCAGTAATAAGCGAGTGGTCAGAAAGACCCACAGGAGAGGACACTTCAAGTGAAGAAATTAATTCATCGTCATTTGTGAAAAATAAGTCTAAAATTGAAGGATTATTGTTGGCTCTAAACCTTGTAGGTTCAGTTATCAGTTGTAATAAATTTGAGTTCATGATAAAGTTTTTAAACAAATTTTGGGAATTGATAGTATCAGTTTTGGAAATAATGGGCCAGCTTATTTCTGGAAAATTGAAATCTCCAACAACAATGAGATTTTCAAGGGATGATAATTCCTCAAGTTTGTTAATAAGCATATTGTCCTGAGTAAGTACTGTATCAGGAGGTCGGTATATGCAAACTATATTAAATATGAAAGAGTTATTAGTAATAAGTAAGTGGATAATTTCTATACCGGGTACGTCTATTGTTTTATTACTGATAGAAAAAGTGTTGGTAATTTCATTTGCTAAATAGATGCATACTCCTCCCCCTCGACGAGTACCTCTGTCTCTACGAAATATAGTAAAATTATCAATGTTTACAATAGCATCGGGAATAGAAGAATTAAGCCACGTTTCTGTTAGGAGAATAATGTGAGGTTTTAAAAGTTGAACAGTACTTATAAATTCATTAAATTTGGACATAAGAGAGTTTAGATTAGTATACATAAGAAGCCAATCCGTAAATTTTAGTGCAGAAGAATTATGAGCGAAATTTCATTATCTTTGGACAGCCATTCACATATTTAATCGTAAGGTCATTTTCTCCATTATTTTTACGAGTTTCAAGCTCAGTACGAAGTTCCTTTAAACGAAGTTGCTGCATAGGTGTCTTGTCATCAATAACAGAATACGTTTCAGTAGATTTGTTTTCCAAAAGTTTATTTTTGTTACGAAGAATTTTTCGAGTGTGGTGTTCAGAACTCATTATCACTTTTATCATGCGGGGATAACGTTTATTTTCATTTGGTTTACCGACTCTATAAAATGTAACAGGACTTTCTTGACATCCAATGACTTCTAGGGCTAAATGTATTTTATTCTTATCATGATCTTTTTTATTTTGTGCGTCTCCTGTAGGTTCGGGGACGCCTCTAACCAAAAAATTTTTGGAACGAGATATGCGGTCAGCGGCTTCATTGACAATGCTGTCGGTAAATTCTGTTGTTGTAATAGAATCGAGTTGATTTAATTTATTGCTGAATTCAGATAGTTTAATATCAAAATCTTCAATTTTCTTCTTAATGTCCGCTTTAAACTCGACAAGTAGATTCTTGATTTCAGTAATATTCGTAATGTTTGAACTGCATGCATTGCATAGTATACATATACCACGTACTTTTTGCCTCGTAACTCGATCATCGACCGACAGATCCGTACAAGCAATGTGTATTGGTTTCTTACAGCCATCGCACTGGAGCTTTCTATCGGAGGTAGAAGTTAGCTTTGAACAATTAGCACAAAACGATGTATTAGGCATGATTAACTTTGTGCTAGTTTTGGATATGAATTATAATTATTGGATTGATAAATAAACAGCAAATTTGTCGTTATCACTTACTTGAATATTCAAAAACACAATCACAATAAATTATTTCTTTGGTTTTTTAAAAACACATTTAAAATCAATTAAATTTTAATTTGCGGAGTGTAGCAAAATACTACCGCTTCGATCGAAGTCTGAAGGATATATGTTATCTTCACGTTAACAAGAATCTTCGCAGTAAATTTGATGACATGTCAATACATGGTTATTTAGTTGGTTATATGAATGACATGGATGGATTTAGAATATGGATTTCATGTGGAAGAAGAATCGTATCGAGCCACCACTTACGATTTAAACCTGAGGTTATATGCAATTTGCGAATTGTTGAAGATAAAGCCAAATTAGTAAATCAACATCAATCCGAATGTTTTAGTGTGAATGAAAACTCCGAAGAAGTAAAAAGTGGTATTGGTGAAATTATGGAATCTAAGAATATAAAAAGTGTAGAAGAAAGTGAGAGTGAAAATCAAGAAGTGAATAGAGGAACCAAATAGTGATAGTGTTCAAGACTCTTAGCGTTACCCCACACGTGTTAAAAATAAACCAAAATTGAATAATGATTTTTTGTTAGATAAACATCTGGAAAATGTACCTGATCTTGCAATGTTTACTATGTCAAATGAATTTGAGCCTACAAGTTTTTCTGAGGCACTGTCAAGTAGTCACAATCATGACTGGAAATTAGCTATTTAGAATTAATTGACAGCTTTTAGAATGATTAATACTTGGGAATTTGTTGATAAACCTGCAAATACAAATATTGTTCAGAATAAATGGGTGTTTAAAATAGAGAAAAATGAAAACGGTAAAATAGTAAGGTACAGGGC